CAAACAGTGTTTGGTCTCCACACGTGGCAAAAGCTGAAAGATGTTCAAAGAGTGACCTGATGCACACATAGGTATATATGCACACATTAACATGTGGGACTCTTACTAAATAGCTGCCTTTGTCAAACTCTGTGAGTTGTCCCCTGGTGGTCATTAGAAAAAACATATATTTAAGGAACATATTGCGAGCATTGACTTTACTTTCAGACCCAAAAGCTACATCCAGCCATCTTTTTTTGCAGTCTACGATAAATCATCACTGCTTTACAGCTACATTTTCCTTGTAAGTAATTATTGGTCCTACATTCCACCACACAGAAGCATTCAACTATTTTTATATATTTTGGTACTGGATGAAAATGACAAGTCAGCAAGTAATGTAGAAATTGTACATACATTATTACTTTCATAACAGCAAATTTTCTTTTCTTTTTCTTTTTCATTTCATTTTCTTTTTTAAGCATCTACAATTCAGCTCTGTGGTTGTAACTGATTTGTCACTGCATTTAAAATGCAGATGTATAAAACAAAGATGTTTGAGTTTTCCAAAACATAATTTACTTACATAAATCTGATTATACGACTGTCCAAAATACAGGAAAGCACGCTGTAGGACAATAAGAGGAGAACTTCCATCGTCTGAAGCAGCGCTTGTTGTTCCAGATATTGGATAGAGGATACCTTAAAGGAGTAAAAAAGGGATTTGCCCCATTATGCTGCAGATACAGTGTATTAATAAATACAACCCCAATTCCAAAAAAGTTACTGTCAAAAAGGTAACTAAAAATACATTGAAGTTATTTGCAAATCTCAGAAACTTCAATGTATTTGAAATTAAACACACAAACAGTTTGAACTTAGAACTGTACCATTAAAAAAAATATATTGGTTCATTTCAAATTTAATGGCAGCAACAAATCTTATAAAAGCTGTGATTCTAAAAAGGAAAAAATGAAGGAACACTTTGCAAATCGTTGTTTAGATTCCAATTCCATTACTTTATTTTGGAATTGGGGTTGTACAGCATGAAGAACCAGAATAAATCCTTTTGAAAGCATTTTGGCCTGTCATAGCAGGAAGAATGAATCAGAACACAAAAACAATACACTATAGAACTAAAAAACAACAACCAATAAGGAGGTGGTGGCCTCAGACTGAACTCAGATCAGATTATTCAAAAGCCACCTGATGAGATAACTCTTATATTATAATAATGTGCAGCTAAAATTATTTTGATGCCAGAGGAAAAAGTTTGGATTACTGTTAGTGTTTTCTGATAGATCTTCAAGAGAATGTTAATAAATTATAGAGAGGTGATCAAAGCTTTCACTTACTTGTTGTCTGAGGACTCACATGACCTATCACAATAAGCACGTGTTTGAATACAAATCTTAGAATCCTCACATCGTTAAACAGCAATAATCTAATCAATACAACAACAATAAATCATTAGGCTGATTTTATTTGATACTCACCTATAATCACCAAAAGCAGCAAAAACAATAGGGTTTGACCCGCCATAACTCAAAATCAAACCTGGAGAATGAATATACAAAAATAAAAAAGTGGGTATGCAACATGTATATGTACACAATTTGTTAAGTAGCTTATAGAACAGAAGATGTTTTGAAGTTTAAATGTTGATGTGCACTGAAATACTTTCAGCTAATAATATAGGCATTACTGTGCGATATCAGTGAAATCTAAACATGGTGTAATGGCTATCTTTGTTTCTTCTTGGAGTTCTCTATTTCTCTTATATTTAAAATAAGAGTCTGGATGGACAAGAGGCTGTTTTATGCGTCGGTTTGTGCAACAACGACGGTAAAACCATCACGTCAATTCAACATTCACT